TGAATGTTTGGTAGAACTCACCCATGAAACTATCTGGGTCTAGGCTTTTGTTGGTGTTTCTTGATGATCTGGTCAATTTCTTCTTTTGTTATGGGTTTGTTCAGATTTTCTACTTCAGTCTGGGTAAGTTTAGGTAGGTCGTGTTTTTCTAGAAATGTATCCATCTCGTCCAAATTTTTGAATTTGTTGGAGTACAGCTCTTCGTGGTATTGTTATTATCTTTTTGATTTCGTTTGGTTCTGTGGTGACTTCACCTATGTGGTTTCTAATGCGATTGATTTGTGTTCTTTCCCTCTTTTCTTTAGTTAGTTTTGCCAATGGTTTGTCAATTTTATTAATCTTTTCAAAGAACCAGCTTCTTGTCTTGTTGATTCTTTCTATGGTTTTTCGGTTTTCTATCTCATCTATTTCTGTCTTTATCTTTATTATTTCTCTTCTTTTGGTGACTGTAAATTCCCTCTGTTGGTCTGCTTCTAGTTGTTGAAGGTGCTGTGTTAATGTGTTGATTTTGGCTCTTTCCTCTTTTTGGATGTGTGCATTTATTGCAATAAATTGACCTCTCAGGACGGCTTTTGCCGTATCCCAAAGATTTTAGTATGTTGTGTTTTCATTCTCATTTGTTTCTAGAAACTTTGTGATTTCATGTTTAATTTCTTCTTTTACCCAGTCGCTTGTTAGCAGGGTGTTGTTCAGCTTCCATGTATTCGACTTTATTGATTTGGGCTTCTTATTGTTGATTTCTAGTCTTAAAGCATTGTGGTCTGAGAAGATGCTTTGTAGAATTTTGATGGTTGTGAATTTATGGAGGCTTGTTTTGTGGCCTAACACATGGTCAATTCTGGAGAATGTTCCATGAGCACTGGAAAAGAATGTGTATTGTGACGCTGTTGGGTAGAATGCTCAGTATATATCTCTGAGGTCAAGTTGGTTGATTGTGTTGTTAAGTTCCTCTTTGGCATTGTCGAGTTTCTTTCTGGTTGTTCTATCCCTTTTCAAGAGTGGTGTGTTGAAATCTCCTACTATAATTGTGGATTTATCTATTTCTTTCTTCAATTCCATTAAGGTTTGCCTCATGTATCTTGGTGCTCTTTCATAATTGTTTATTATGGTTATGTTTTCTTGCTCAATTGATCCTTTGATCATGAGATAGTGTCCTTCTTTGTCTCTTATGCATGTTTTTATCTTAAAGTCTACTTTGTCGGAGATTAGTATTGCAACTCCTGCTTGTTTAGATCTGTTGTTGACTTGGTAAATCGTTTTGCATCCTTTGACTCTTAGTCTGTTTTTGTCTTTGTGTGTAAGGTGTGTCTCTTGGAGGCAGCATATTGTGGATCTTGTTTTTTTATCCCTTCTGCCACTCTTTGTCTCTTCACTGGTGCATTCAATCCATTGACATTCAATGTAATTATTGATAAGTATGAGTTGATTACTGTCATTGTGTTACTTTTTTGGTGGTGGTGTTCGTTCTTTGGTTCTGCTTACCTTCTTGTATTGAGTTTGGTTTTTTGAGTTGATTCTGGTCGGTTTCTTCCTAGCTTCTTTGTTTGATTGTTCTGTTTGGGAATTCATGTTCATTATCAGTTGTGGGGTGTTAACTTTCTTTGGGGTTACCTTGTAGGCTACTAGTTTTTCTCCTCATTTAGGATATTCCATTGCAAACTGTAATTTACCTGGCATCTCCACCACCTGTGCTTCTGTTGCTGTGTTTGTCCCTTCTTTGACGTTGATATGTTTATATCTTTCAGTCGATCTCTGGGTTCCCTTGAGTTTGTTGTAGTCTTGTTCCATTCTGGACTCTGCTTACTGTTGACTGTGTTCCTAGGTGGTGTTGCCATACCTGTCAATCTCTGTTTGTCATCTGTTCTTGTTGGTTCTCCATCCCTAGAACTCCCTTTAGGATGTTTTGAAGTGCTGGGTTGGTTTTGATGAATTCCCTCAGATTCTGTTTATCCTGGAATGTTCTGATCGTGCCATCGTATTTGATTGATAGTTTTGTTGGATAGATGATTCTTGGTTGACAGTTTTTTTCTTGCAGGGTTTTGTATATATCTCCCCATTGCCCTCTTGCCTGCATGGTTTGTTCTGAATAGTCAGTGCTTAATCTAATTTGTTTGCCTTTATAAGTTATATTTCTCTTCTCCCTGGCCGCTCTTAGTATTTTTTCCTTGTCTTTGGTTTTGGAGAGCTTGATTATTATATGTCTTGGAGATTTTCATTTGGGGTCTATCCTTCCTGGGGTACGTTGGGCTTCTTGAATGTATATTTTCTCATCTTTCAAGATGTTAGGGAAGTTTTCCTCCAGAAGCTCTTCCACTACCTCCTCTGTAGATTTCCTTGATTCTTCTTGTTCCGGAATGCCAATAATTCTTACATTATTCCTCTTCATGTTATCCAACATGTATCTTAGATTGTCTTCAGATTGTTTTATCTTTTTAGCTGTTTGCTGTTTTATCTTGGCTATACTGACAGATTTGTCTTCCAGCTCACTAGTACTGGCTTCCATCTCTTCCATTCTGCTCCTTTCCCTTTTCAGGCTATTGTCTATTTCTGATATCTTATTATTGATCATCTGGACATCTTTTGCAAGTTTTGAATTTCCAGTGCTGTGTCAATCCTATTAGATTGTTCCTGCAGTATTCTGGTTACTTCTTCCTTGTTTTCCTCAATCCATTTTCGGAGTATTTGAATTTGTTTCCGTATCATTCTTCTGAATTCCCTCCTCAGGCAAATCCAGAACCCGCTCGTCCTCCTCTATAATACCTTTGTCTGTCTCCAGCTCATTTGTATCTGCTGTCTTTTTCTGCTTTTGGAGATGCTTCGATAATGTTAATTGTTTCTTGTTGGGCATGATTATTCCTATTTTGTTGTAATTATTATTGCTACGATCAGGAGGTAGGCGTCTGATGACGTCCGAGAGTCACCGTATTTCTGTTGCTCTCTGTGCCCTGGTTAAACTTTTTTTTTTTTTTTTTCCTGCCTGCTACATGCCTTGAGATTTCAAGCTAGGGCTGAGAACTCTCCTGCAGCTTTTGGCCACTTGAGATTCTCCGTTTGGGCTGGCTCTAGCCCCACCCTCAAAGCTCTACAGGGGTCAGGAGTCGCTACCCTCAGTGGCGGATGAAAGTTCAAAATGCCAGAAATTCCTCTGTGGTGTGATTTTTTAAAAAAACGAGTAGAGGAGGCAGATGCCCTGAGTCTTATGTTGATTGGGGGGTTTTGAGTCTGCTACCGGACAGCCTCCTCCGTGAGATCTCCCCCTTTGTCCTTGGAGCCCTCCTTACCCGTGTCATCTTGCCTCAGTGGGGTACCGGAAGTTATTAAGTTATGTATTATGTTTACTCTTTCACATGTAATTTATTTATTAGACAAGAAAACCTTCCAAAGGTAATCTTGAATAGTAAGTTTGTATTACTTGGGATTTTGTTCCTCTTTTAACATTTTTACACTTTAAAATGATGTTTAATTATCATTCTGAAAAGCAAACTAATGATGTTTTCTCCTTTCAGACAGTGTTTATCTCTTACAAGGTTCAGTAGTAGCAGATCATGATTACATCGGGTTGCCTGAAATTCCAGTTGGAGCATACCAAGCAAATATTCTGGTAGAAGATGCAACTATTGCTGTAGTTGATAATGAATTACTGACATCAACCAGGGATCATGAACTACTAGAATATAGAAATGCCAAAATCTCTCCATTAATAGAAGATCATGGTACTCTTGAAAAACAGACTTTCAGTTTATTGGACTCTTCAAACCAAGTCCTTGAGTACTTAAGTTAGTAAATAACGTAAGTCTGTGTAAAGTGCTTGTTTATAATGTATAAGCCCTTGAACCTTAATAGCTCCTCTGTCAAAAGATGTATAGAATGAGTGTCTTGACACAGTCTTGATAACTGGATTCTGATGTTTATTTTATAACTATTTATTTATCTAAAATTGTGACCAGGTTTGAATGTCTATATATGAAGTATATATAGAATTCACTTGTTCTATAAAGAAAACAGGGGAAGCACACTTGCTTCTTAGGAAGGAAATTAAATTTGTGCTAAAAAACTCTCTAGTCTTTGTCTGATATTTATACTATGTTTTCCTTTTTAATTTTTCTGGAATACCTCCTCTCTTTTTAAATAAATTATAACTCCTTTTTTGGGGAAAAATAAATAGTGAATCAATCTTAGTAATGAATTAAGTGTAACTTCTCTCTGTGTCATTAGAGCTTATAAAAATAATAACAGGAGCCCTGGTGTGCTATGAGCTAGGCATTGGACTGCTAACCACACAGTTGGTGGTTCAAATGTACTGACCATTCCATAGGAGAAAGATGAGGCTGCTTGCTCCCATAAAGATTTACAGTTTCAGAAACATTATATAGGGTCACTATGAGCCAGAATCTACTCAATGGCAGTGGATTTGTACTTTTTTGGTTTAGAATGGCCTCTTTCAAAATGCTATTAATTTCACCTTTTTAGATAGGTTTGGGATTTAGGTCTGAAACAAATAAAGGCATTTGTTCATTAATATATACTAAAGCTAAAGGCATCAATAAGAATTTTATATGCAATCTCAAAAATTAGGTAAATATATCCACCGCTCACTTATTGATGTGATTATGTTCCAAAGACAAAGTTGTTAAGTTAAAGTCAGCGTTGTGGGAATGCCCTGCACTAGACTGCTTCTGAGGTCACCTGCTGCTGCCACTTCCCCATCTCCCACGTCACTTCAGGAGAGCTCAGCCCCCAACAAAGCCTCAGGGAAGAGTCATCTAGTTTTCCAGAAGTAGGATGGCCCAAGCACCACCTCTACCTTAAGGTCCCCTCCTTCACTTGTCTTCACTGTATTTTCAGGATGGGTGACCCCGACTCATCCTCTTGATGACCCTGAAATGCTCTTGGTTGCTTTGTTGAGGGTAAGGAGCTCTCTGTCCATGGGCAGGAGGTCTTAAGTACTATATAAGGGGGCATGCTGATTGCTGTGTCACCCCACCAGCTCCTTGCTTGAGCTTCCCACCCTCACCTCTTTGCTGATGGTGATGCCCCACTCTGTCCTTATATTCCCATGAGAATCAACAACCCAGATCTTGCTCTGAGGCTGAGATGGTCGGGCCCAGCCACTGCTTTTGACCTTAGACTGTACCTTAGACTGCCCTCTCACCTCCTGGCCCTTCCCCAGCCCAAATAGCTTGTCCTGCCCCCACCTGCCTGCCCAAGAGAGGGCATCAAGGAAATGAAACAGGCTGCATAGGTGTCAGCTGACATAACTCTTGTGAGCCTTGGGCATCCAAGTGCTCCTGATCACAACTTGGCCTGTCCCTACAGCAGCACGATGCTGGGAGCTATTGCCAAATCCCAGGGTCCTAATTCCTCCATGGCCCCAAGGGTAGCCCACCTTCAGGATGCTGACTGCCATTGCCCTGGCCTCAGCCCCTGAAGCTACCCAGGACCTTCTGGGCAGTGTGTCAGCCCCGCTGGTCACACTTAGACCCTCATTCTATTCCACCCGACACCTTGACAGTTCAGGGAGACTGTGCCCCCTCTCCCTTCCCAGGTGGTGAAATACTATGCAGCATGAGTTTGCTTTCTACATGCACCTATCAGGGACCCTATCAGGGAACTTGGTGTTTGTTACTGCCAGCAAACACATTTGTTAATGTGCAAAATAGATTTTTTACCATTATAAATGTGAAATGTGATGGTGAATAAATAAGGGTGGGTATCACTATGGGCTAATGTGCTGGACTGCGAAGTTGTTTGAACCACAAGGTCAGTGATTCAAGCTCGCCAGCTGCTCCTTGGAAGCACTATACAGGGTCGCTATGGGTTGGAAATGACTCGACAACATGTAACAACAAAAATATTGTAGCTAAGTACCATTGAGTTGGTTCCGGTTCAATGGCATTTAGCATTGAATTAGGTCATCATGTTGTTGTTGTTAAATGCCATTGACTCCGTTCTGACCCATAGCGACCCTGAACAGGGTTTCCAAGGCTGTAAATCTTTACGGGAGCAGAAAGCCTCATCTTTCTCCCGCGGAGCAGCTGGTAGTTTTGAACTGCTGCCCTTGCAGTTCGCAGCCCGATTCATAATCACTACGCTACCAGAGCTCCTTTCATAGTAACCCAATATAAGGTTTCCAAGAAGCAGCTGTGGAGTTTGAACTGCCAACCGTGTGGTTCACAGTCCAGTACTGATCCTACAGCACCAGTGGATACAATGATAAGTGACATAAGATTTTAAAGTATAGTTTCTATGACATTCATAACTTTGTTCAACAAATATTTCTGGTAAAGCACTGCAAAGAGCACTGGGAAAATAAAAAGATGAACCATATAGATGTGTATCTGAGTCCTTATAAGGGCTTACAGTCAAAAAAGAATGTAATGCATATAAGACATGCACAAAGAAGCCCAAGTAAAACAGTGTTTTACTGCAAACCAAAAGTTTGGAATTTGAACCCACCACCTACTCTGTGGGAGAAAGATGTGGCGGTAAAGATTTCAGCCTGGAAACTTTATGAACCAGTTTTTTGTGTGTGCTTTTTTTTTTTGCCCTGTAAAAGCTCTGGTGTAGCACTTAGGGTAAGCACTGAACAGCTAGGTCAGTTTGAACTGCAAGGTTGGCAGTTCAAACTCGCCAGAAGCTCCTTGGAAACCCTATACAGGATCGCTATGGGTTGGAACCAACTTGATGGCACTTAACAACATCAACTAAATTGTTATGAGTTAGAATCCACTAAATGGCAATGGACTTTTTAAGATATGTACAAAACAAAATTACAAGGTAGTGCTAAATTCCATGAGAAGTGTAGATAATGTACTTACATACCTGCTGTCATTGAGTGGATCCCATCTAATGATAACTGATGTGTTTCATAGTAAACTGCTCCATAGGGTTCTCAAGGTTGTGACCTTTCATAAACAGATCGTCAGGCCTATCCTTGAGAGTTGGTTTGAACCTAGTCACATACTGCTAATAGGTCTGGGGTTTCTTATAGAGATAATGTTCTAAAATTAGATCATTGTGACAGTTAATACATTCTACAAATGTACCAAAATTCATTGAATTGTGCACTTGAAAGTATGGAATGTGAATTATATCCCAATGGAGTCCTTGTGTCACACTGTGAGTTAATGTGCAGATTGCAAGATCCGTGGTTCAAGTTCACCAGCGCTCCTCAGGAACACTATACAGGGTTGCTATGAGTTGGAACCAACTCGATGACACTTAACAAAGTTGTTATAAAAAGAGTGTAAACCACAGTTAAAACAAAAACCACCACAAAACTAACCACATTGTTGTTGTTAAGTGCCATCGAGTCGATTCCAACCCATAGCAACCCTGTATAGGGTTTCCAAGGAGCAGCTGGTGACCTTGAACCACCAACTTTGCAGTTAAAACAGCTTTGCTGTTTGATATATTAGCCCACAGCGCCACACTAGGACTCCACATTGTTGTTGTTGTTAGGTGCCATCGACTCAGTACCGATTCATAGTGACCTTATGCACAGCAGAACAAAACACTGCCTGATCCTGGGCCAACCTCATACTGTTGCCACACTTGAGTCCATCAATGGTGCCACTTGGTCAATCCATCTCATTGGGGGTCTTCCTCTGTTTCTCTTATCTTCCACCTTACAAAACATGATATCCTTCTCCAGAGACTGGTCCCTCCTGACAATGTGTCCAAAGGATGAGAGATGAAGTTTGGCCATCTTGGCCTCCAAGGAGCACTCTGGCTGCACTGCTTCCAACACATGGATCTTTTGGGTTTTCTGGAAGCCCATGGCACTTTCAATATTCTCCAACACCATAACTCAAATGCATCAATTCTTCTACAGTCTTCCTTATTTACTGTCCAGCTTTCATATGCATATGAGGTTATTGAAAATACCATGGCTTGGGTCATGCGCACCTTAGATCTCAAGTTGACGTCTTTGCTCTTCAAAACTTTAAAAAGGTCTTGTGCAGCAGATTTGCCTAATGCAATATGTCATTTGATTTCTTGGCTGCTGCTTCCATGAGTGTTGATAGTTAATCCAAGAAAAATGAAGCCCTTTTCAACTTCAATCTTTGCTGATAAGAATGTTTTTATTGGTCCAGTGGTGAGGATTTTTGTTTTCTTTATATTGAGATATAATGCATACCGAAGGCTGTGTGCTTTGATCTTCATCAGTAAATGTTTTAAGTCCTCTTCACTTTCGGCAAATAAGATTGTATCGTCTGCATATCGCAGGTTGTTAATGAGTCTTCCTCCAATCCTGATTCCACATTTTTCTTCATATAACACAGCTTCTTGGATTATTTGCTCAGCATACAGGTTAAATAAGTATGGTGAAAGAACACAACCTTGTGGCACACCTTTCTTAATTTTAAACCATTCAGTGTTTCCATGTGCTGTTTGAACAAGGACTCCACATAGCCACATCTAATTCCGTATGAGAGCTAAGTACAGCACTGCCGTTTTCCTGGAAGGTAGAGACCCAGAATATTGGTGATAGCTGTACTAGCTGGCACACTCATTAATAAATTAGAATAAAGTAAGATGTAATTTGGGAGTCCTGGTGTGGCACTGTGGGTTAATGCCCCGGACTGCAAAGTCATTTGAACCAGAAGGTCGGCGGTTCAAGCTCACCAGTAGCTTCTCGGAAACTCCTATACAGGGTCACTATGGGTCAGAACCGACTCGACAGCACTTAACAACAACAATTTTATTTACCCCATGGAAGAAGCAGTATTGTGGTCAGCATGGAGACATTCAAGCCATATCCTTGGCTTAGCCGCATTT